TCCGTTCCTCTTTATTACTGCACAGTATCCATGGTACAAACATACCACAATTGATTTGTCTGCTGAAGGGCATTCGGTTGCTTCCAACCCAATTTGGGGCTATTCCCACAATAAACATTTGTGTACAAGCACTTGTGTGGCCGTGTGTTTTCACGTCTCATGGGGCAATACTCAGGAGCAAGATGGCTGGGTGGCATCGTTGGGCTCTGTAACAGGGCCTGGGGGGTTCTGCCCAGGGAGGGTTGTGGGGCACAGGGGCTCGGTTCTCGTCTCAAACACGGCAGAGCTTCAAGGGGCTCCTCACCCAGCTGCTTCCTCTCTCAGCTTTTCCTTTCGTTTCTTTTTTAAAGATTTACTTTATATATTTGAAAGACAGAGTTACAGAGAGAGGCAGAGGCAGAGAGAGAGAGAGAGAGAGAGAGAGAGAGAGAGGTCTTCCATCTGCTGGTTCACTCTCCCAAATGGCCACAATGGCCAGAGCTACACCAATCCGAAGCCAGGAGCCAGGAGCTTCTTCCAGGTCTCCCATGTGGGTGCAGGGGCCCATGGACTTGGACCATCTTCCACTGCTTTCCCAGGCACACTAGCAGGGAGCTGGGTGGGAAGTGGAGCAGCCAGGACTTGAACTGGCACCCATATGGGATGCTGGCTCTGCAGACCAGGGCTTTAACCCACTACGCCCTTTACCGCACATTGGCTCTTCAGCTTCTCTTTGATAAAAAGTTTTCAGTTAAAAAAAGAGTTTTGAATGTCCAGCTGTCCTTCTCGTCATCCCTCTGTCCTCCATCATTTTGCAGGCAAAGAAAACCAAGGATGCCACGAGCCGCAGCCACAGCCGGTGGCTGAGAGGCTGCACCTGCACCTTCCCAGGCCCGGGCGTCTAAGCCGGTGGCCATGGCCTCTTCCAGGTCCCCATCACCACCTTCCCGGGAGTGGCATCAGGCTGGCATCGAGGGCACCACTTCCCAAGTCCCTAGATGTTTCCTGTAAAATCTGTGAGGCCAGATGAGGCCCAGGGGTCAGGACCACAACGCTAGGGGCTTTCTACAGCAGCAATGTGGCCCCGGGGGAAGCGAGCAGAGGCCCCCCCCCCCAGCTCTGAGCCGGATGTGCCGGAGCGGAAGGGCGGGGCACACCTGTGTGCCTTTCACCCTGCAGGAAAGGGAGACAGGCGCAGGCTGGGGTCCATTCTCACTTTGCCTACTGCAAGGAAAACGAACGTTAGCACCGCCTTGGAAGGCTCCACGGGCACCAACTTCAGAGCTGGGGGCTCAGGTATTCAAGACAAGGTGCCCGAACCGGGACCATCCAGGGGCCAAGTCCACTTTCTGCTTCTCCTGGGGCAGGGACGTGCACGTTTTGTAGCGTCTGGAGAGAATTTTCCTGCGTTCCTACCTCTCTCCTGCACAGCTCGCTGTCCTGTCTCCAGCTGACAGGTGTGGAGTCTGGGGCCCCGAGTACCAGGAAAAGGTGGCCTCTGCCTCTTCTCCAAATCTTCTTTCCCTCCAAGGACTCCTCTTCCAAGAAATGAGAAAGCAACACAGGGACTTTTCACTCACTCTCTCCCTAGACTGTGGGAGGTGCAGGCTGGCGGCCACTGTTGTTATGCCAAAAAAGATTTGGAAGTGCCAAAAAAGATCTGGAAGCAGCCAGCAGCCACGTGGGGCTCCCGTCGGCCCGGCTGGCTGAGGCGCTCTGCAGATGGACAGAACTGGACTTCACAGATTGTGGAGAACGGAATTCGAAGGTGAGTTCATTTTGTGCAAAAGAAAAAAATTGAAATGTATGCGCGGTTGTTTTTCATTATAAATGTATTCTCCACAAATTTTGCAAATTGTAACACAAAAATATTTTTTCCTTGAACCACCCACAAGAAATATGGAACGAGGTAGGCATCTGATCCGTTTGTTAAGACGCCAGCTGGGATGACCAGGACCCACACCACGGCCCTGGCTTTGGCTGCTGACCCCAGCTTCCGGCTAATCAGACCCCGGGAGACAGTGGTGCCGGGACCTGAACTGAGTTCCAGGCTCCTGACTTCAGCCCCTCCGTCGTTGTGAGTGTCTGGGGAGTGAACCAGAGGATGGGAGCTCTCTCTGTCTTTCTCTCTGCCTCTCCAATGACTTTTTAATGGAAAAAAGAAATACGGAATGAAGAAGGTGGTGCATCAGGCCAGGTTGCTTTTTGCCCCGTGTGGAAGAGGAAGCAAGCCTATTGTTGGCTTGTGGAAATCAGGTTTTTTTCACTTTGATATTCATCTAGCAGCCTCCAGCGAAGTAAGAGCAAAGGAGGTTAAGTGTGAAAAAGAGGCACAAACCCAGATGCCAGCCTGGGGGGTTCCAGTGGGGGATTCAGAGAAGGCTTTCTGGAGGAGGCGGCATTTAAGCTGGGCCTGGGAGGGCACGGTGGTGCAGATGGAAAGAGGGGAACATGGAAGGCTCAGAGCCTGCAAGAGCAAGGCCAGCCTGGGAAGCAAGGGGTCGGGCAGAGCGCCCCCTATGGGTGGGAGGAGAAACAGCAGGCCAGGACGGGAGTAGGCGGCATGTAAAACAGCTCAGTGAGGATCTGTGGTTGTTTCTAAAATGTTTATATTTTCTTTCCTTTTTTTTTTTTAAAAAAAGATTTATTTATTTATTTGAAAGGCAGAGTTACACAGAGAGAGGAGAGGCAGAGAGAGAGAGAGGTCTTCCATCCGATGGTTCACTCTCCAGTTGGCCGCAACAGCTGGAGCTGAGCTGATCTGAAGCAAGGAGCCAGGGGCTTCTTCCAGGTCTCCCACGTGGGTGCAGGGGCCCAAGGACTTGGGTCATCTTCTACTGCTTTCCCAGGCCATAGCAGAGAGCTGGATAGGAAGTGGAGCAGCCAGGACTAGAACCGGTGCCCATATGGTATGCCAGCGCTTCAGGCCACGGCATTAATCCGCTGCGCCACAGCACCGCGCCCCCCCTAAAATGTTTATATTTTCATTTATTTGAAAGGCAGAGACAGACAGACAGAGATCTTCCCTAGAGATTCACTCCCCAGAGCCAGGAAGAAACCAAGAGCCAAGAAACCCACCCATGTGGGTAACGGGGACCCAAGTACTTGAGCCACCACCTGCTGCCTCCCAGGGTGTGCATGAGCAAAAAGCTGGAATTCGGAGTGAAGCTGGAACTTGAACCCAGGCACTCACAGCGTGTGGGCATCCCAAGCAGCCGCTTAGCTGCCACACCTAACGCCCACCCAGGATCTTAGCTGTCAGCGTAGGACAGGTGAGCCTTGTCCATGCCCCCAGCAGGGAGCAGGTGCCTGGCCACCCTCCCAGCTAACCCCAGTGGAGTTCCAGAAAACTGCCCCCTGCCCCTTCCCACACTGGGGCCCGTACATGTGCAAGGGGCACAGAGCTGCTTGCATTCCCCTTTGTTACCAGGTGCCAGGCATGGCAGTAATGAATGTTTATGGAATGAATAAATAAGCCAATGAATGAGTAGAGGGCCATATAATTGAACCCTTCACGAGGAAGTCGCAAAGACAGTGTATGTGTGCGTGTGTGCACGCGCGTGTGTGTATGTGTATAGGAATAGCTATCCCAGCCCCACCTGCTGCCTCCCAGTAGTGGGGTGGGGAGTGGCTCTGTGGAAGGTGGGTGCAAGCAGAAAGCTCAGGTTGGTGGCCCTGGCTCCATCTTCATTGGGGCTTTTCCCATGCTACGCCCCGTCCCCACCCCGAAGGCCCCCGCAATAAGGGGCCAAGGCCTAGATTCCCCCGAGGATGAACTCCATCCTTGCCCTGGGATGGGCCACATCCTCAGGCTGTGAGGACTCCCGGCTCCCGCTCCCGCTCCTGCTCCCGCTCCAGCTCCCGCTCCCGCTCCCGGGGGTAGGCAGGGAAGGACTCCCCAGGGAGCGTCTGTGTCTCTCTCTCTCTCTCCAGCCTTTAGTGCTGGTTTCCCTCTGAGGTCTGCTCTCTGCTGGGTCCGAGGATAAAACCTGCTGGCTAAAGCCTCAGCCCACCCAGGCCGGGCCAGACCCTTGTCCTCACCCTAACCTCCAACACTACTTCAGCTCAGCTCTTAAACGCAGGCCCGGGCACAGGTTGTGGACAGAAGGCAGCCTGCCTCCACCACAGGTCTCTCCGCACCTCCCACTCACTCCTTGGCTGCTCCTACACAACCAGGCAGGAGGAAAAGGGAAGCCCCACCCCTTGCTTCATCTCCTAGGAACTGCACCTGTCAGTGGGAGGAGCGTGAGGACCAAACAGGATGTGCTCTGGAACTGGTCACCAGCTCAGTGCAGGCGAGCGCAGGGTCTGCTTGTTCTCCTTTGAGTTAACGCCCGGTTTCTGCTCCAGAAGCAGTGAATATTATTTCTGCCTTTGCAACAGCAGAAAAGGTGGGAAGACGTCAAATCTTCACTTTCAGAGGCCCCATCAGACAGCTGAGGCTGCCGGGAGACCACGTAGCCTGAAATCCAAGAGACGCTCCTGCCGGGAGAGGTGGGGATGCAGGGGAGCTGGGGGCGCCACCTGCCTCCAGCGGATGCAGCTGTGACCAGAGATGGCACCGCGGTGCTTAACCAGATGGCTCAGCCAGCCTTACCCGGCCTGGGGCTGCCAAGGGGCTGCAAAGGACAAAGGTGGGTTTTCACCCCATCCCAGGCTTTGGGTGCACTGAGAAAGCACCTCATGATCCAGCCTTGAGGGAAGGGGACCGCCATGACTGCAGGAGGGACACAAAACCCCACCCAGATGTCTTCCCCACCCCCCTCTGCCATAAAAATCTGTCACCTCTAGAGAAAGGATGACAACACCATAGCCATTAGAGTCATGCTGAAACCCTTGGGGGCCTGGTGCTGTGGTGTAGCGGATAAAGCTTCATGCAAGGGCAGCGTCTCATATGCGCTCCACTTCCAACCCAGCTCCCTGCTAATGTGCCTGGGAGAGCAGCAGCAGATGGCCCAAGTGCTTGGTCCCTGCTACCCACATGGAAGACCTGGATGAAACTCCTGCCTCCAGGCTTTGGCTGTTGTGGCCATTTTGGAAGTGAACCAGTAGATGAAAGATATCTCTCTCCCTCTCCCTCTCCCTCTCCCTCTCCCTCTCCCTCTCCCTCTCCCTCTCCCTCTCCCTCTCCCTCTCCCTCTCCCTCTCCCTGTGTAACTCTGACTTTCAAATAAATCTTAGAAGAAAACAACCTTGGGATCTGGCGTAAGGGGAGAGAAAGAACACTCTACCCTGAGGGAGAGGCGGGAGAACATTGCAGGCCCAGAACCACGTGTCAGACCCAGACTCAGCTGTCAGCAGTACACACTGGAACCCACAGGATCAGATACATGCAGGTGTTGGACTGTTTGCTAGGGAACAGAAAACAACCATGGCTAGAAATACGAGCAATGTGCAAGATGTAGGGTCCTTTCAGCAAGAACACAGAAATCGTAAGAGAGAAACCAAAGGAAATGCTAGAAATGAAAACACAGTAACAGAAATAAAGAATATGTCCAATGGGCTCACGAGCAGACTTGACACAGTGAAAGAAGGAATTGATGGACTTACAGAAGGTCTATAGAAATTGCTCAAACTGAAACACAAAGAGAAAACCAAACATACACGAACCGTGGGACAATGTCAAATATTCTGACGTGCACGTAATTAAGAGTACAAAAACCGAAAAGAGAGTAGGGTGGAAGAAATATTTGAAGAAATAGTGGCTGAGAATTTTCTAGAATTACTGATACCAAGCTACAGATCTACAAGGCTCAGAGAACACCTGATAAATGCTGGCTTTTAGCCAACTGTTAAGATGAAGGTTAAGCAGCCTGAATCCTGCACTGGAGCTCCTGAGTTCCACACTCCACTCCAGCTTTTGACTCCAGCTTCCTGCTAATGCAGACCCCAAGAGACAGCAGTAATAGCTCAAGTAATTGACAGCTTTCAAACGCTGAAAGAAAAACAAAACTATCAACCCAGAAATCTATACCTAGTGATGATAGCTTCAAAAAATGAAAGATAGGGGTGGGGGGGGGCAGCGCTGTGGCACAGCAGGTCAAGCCCCTGCTTGCAATGCCAGCATCCCACCAGCACTGGTTCAAGACCCGGTTGCTCTGCTTCTCATCCGACTCCCTGCTAATGCACCCAGAAAAGCAATGGAGCACGGCTCAGACATTTGGGCCCCTGCACCCATGTGCAAGACCCAGGTAGACCCTGATCCTTGGCTTCACCCTGGCCCAGATCTGGCCCACTTTGGGGTGTTGACTAGTAGATGGAAGATTTCTGTCTGTCTCTCTCTCTGTCTCTCCTTCTTTCTTTTGCTCTGCCTTTCAAACATATAAATACATCTTTTTGAAAAATGGAAGAGAAATAGACTTTTTCAAACAATCACTGAGAGAATCCATTGTCAGCAGGTCTCCAGCACAAGGAATTTTAAAAGAAGTCCTTCAGGCACAAGAATATGACACCAAATTGGAACCTGTATTAACACAAAGAAGTGTAGCATAATAGAAATGGGAAAATGACGGCAAAATAAAGTTCTTTCTTTAAAAAAAAAAAAGCTTTATTACTCTAAGAGGTAAAGGCACATTCAAAGCGAAAATAGTGTCAGTCTGTTTTGCTTACTGTGTGTATCAGTCCAGTGCTCTGACGACACAAGCAGAGGATGGGGGCGTGCGTACACTGTTGTGAGGTCCCTACGCTGTGCCCGAGGCAATGTGTTATTTGAAGATACTCCTTGATTACTTAAAGATGCATGCTGTGTATGTCTAGAGTAGCCACATATTTAAGAAAAGATTTATTTTATTTATTTTAAAGACAGAATTACAGAGAGAGATAGAGACAGAGAGAGTGGTCTTCCATCCGTTGGCTCACTCCCCGATGGCCACAATGGCCAGAGCTGAGCCAATCCGAAGTCAGGAGCCAGGAGTTTCTTCTGGGTCTCCCACGTGGGTGCAGAGGCCCAAGGATAATACATGGGCCAAGTCTGCAGAGAAAAGATACACTTCTAAGATTATATGGAATGACAGCATATCTACAAAACATGAAGCAAAAAACTGATAGAACAAGAAGACAGCACGTACATAAGAATACAAAAGGCCTGAATACCACTGCCAACCATGCTGACCCAGCGACTTCTCTACACCGTTCCATCAAGATCGGCAGAATGCGTAATGGTTCCAAGTGGATGGGGCGCTTTCACCAAGACAGGTCTTATTCTGGGCCATCAAATACTGTCCAACAAATCAAAAAATACTAGGAACTCTGAAAAATATGTTCTCAGACAATAGCAGAATTAAATTAGACATCAGTAACAGAAGTTATAGGGAAAACCCTCAAAACCTTCGCAGTAAAAAGTGTATTTTTCAATAACCCATGAGTCAAATAGAAAATGTCCATGCAAATCAAACGTATAGTTTGAATGGAATAAAAGTGAAATTGTAATATCAAAATGCAGCGCACAGCTAAAACAGGACTTACAGGAAAGTTTATAAAAATTAAATGCATAAACTAGAAAATACATAGACCTGAACTCCCTCATCTGAACTCCATGTTAAGGAACTGGAAGAGAAGCACAAAATAGCCACAGATGGAGTGAAAGAAGGAAACGGTGACGATGCCAGCAGAAACAATGAAAACGAAAACAGAAGCGAGAGAGGAACACAGTGAAACCAAATCTGTTCCTTTGGCAAAATTAATAAAACTGCCACGAGACTGAGCAGGGAAACTGAGAGCGAGAAGACACCAAAGCCCAGAACCACAAATGAAGAGGCGACATCACGCCGGACACCAGTGTTGTTAGAAGCTTAAACAGGAATTCTGCGCTCAACTTTATTTCCTTGATGTCAGCCATCAATACAATGGAGGAATTCCTTGGAGACACGCATCACCCAAAGTCACTCAATTTTGCACAATCTTGTCCAGAAAAGAGAAGAGGTAGGGTCTCTTCCCAATTCATTTTATGGGGTCAGCATTACTGTAATGCCAACACAAAAGATATTGTAAGAAAAGCAACATAGACCATTTTCCGTCAGGAACCCAGATGCAAATACGGTAATCCCCCTTATCTGTGGTTTTGCTAACTCAGTTTCAGTTACTTGCGCGGCTAACCACAGTCTGAGAACAGTCACTGAAAAATTCCAGAAATAGAGAACAAGCACATTTGAACTTGCACATGGCACTAAGCAGCATGAGGAAATCCCGCACCTTCCCCTGTGTCACAGCCAGGCCACGATCCGTCCCTTCGTCTGGCTTCTCCCCTGCTGTACATGTGCCTGCCCGCTAGCCACTCGGTCACGTTGCTTGCCAGTTCAGCTGTTGTGGTACCACAGCGCTTGTGTGCAAGTCACCCTTACTTAACCATGGCTGTAAAGTGTGAAAGGACAATAAGGTTGGTTTATAGAGACCACACACACATGGCTTTCGCTATAGTTCATTGTTATAGTTATTCTATTTTATTATTGGCGACCTTTTATGGTGTCTAACTTACCAATTAAACCTCTTGTGGGTATGGATGTACTTATATATATGAAAAATATGTGGTATAGCTGGGGTTCTGAACTACCCTAACTATGGTTCTGAACTACCCTAACTATGGTTTCAAGCATCCGTTGGGGATCTTAGCTTGTATCCCCTGCAGAATAGGGGTCTACATAGTACCATAGATGTAACAAAATACCAACAAATAGAATCTGTCAATATATAAAAAGGATACGCCAGCGCCGTGGCTCACTAGGCTAATCCTCTGCCTTGCGGCGCCGGCCACCAGGTTCTAGCCCCGGTCAGGGCACCGGATTCTGTCCCGGTTGCCCCTCTTCCAGGCCAGCTCTCTGCTGTGGCCAGGGAGTGCAGTGGAGGATGGCCCAAGTGCTTGGGCCCTGCACCCCATGGGAGACCAGGATAAGCACCTGGCTCCTGCCATTGGATCAGTGCGGTGCGCCGGTCGCAGCGCGCTGGCCGTGGCGGCCGTTGGAGAGTGAACCGACGGCAAAGGAAGACCTTTCTCTCTGTCTCTCTCTCTCTCACTGTCCACTCTGCCTGTCAAAAAAAAAAAAAAAAAAAAAAAAAAAAGGATAATATACCACGAGCAACAGAGGTTTATTCCAGGAATTCTTGGTTGGTTCACAAATTGAAAATCGATCAATGTGTTCCACAGTATTAACAGCCTCAAGAAGAAGACCATGTGGTTAGCTGAATAGATGCAGAATACACATTTGACAAAATTCAGCATCCACTCACGGTAACAACTCTCAGCTGACTGCGAGCAACAGGAATTGCCTTACCCTGGTAAAGGGCATGTACAAACGCCCAATAGGAATGGTCATTTTTATGGTGGAAGAATGAAGATCGTCCCTCTAGATCCAACACAAGACAAAGCTAGCTTCTTCACCACTCCCATCAGCACCACACCGGAAGTCCAGTCGACTCCTAAGGAGAGAGAAGAAAGAAAGAGTGATAATGGGGAGGGGGGAGAAAAAAAAAGAAGAGAGGGAGAGGGAGGAGAGAGGGGATGAGGAGAACAAGATAAAGATAAAAGTCATACTGTTGTACGTATAGGGAGGAAGAAATAAATTAACTCAACTCTAAACTTCCATGAACCAAGCTGATGATCCAATCTCACTATCACCGTCTCTCTCCCCACACTTTCCAAAAGATTTAATGAGTCCTGGAGTCGGGCTGCACCAAGACACCTGGAGGCCCTTCCTTTCATTTTCAAACTGTTTTTGTGACTGTTAATAACTGCCTAGACACCTGTTGTCACCGTTCACACCTGGTGTCACCACACAATTCACACCTGTTGTCATGTTCACACCTGTTGTCACCACACAATTCATACCTGTTGTCACTGTTCACCCCTGTTCTCACCGTTCTCACCTGGTGTCACAGTTCACACCTGTTCTCACCATTCACACCTGGTGTCACAGCTCACACCCTGCCTTTGGGCCCAGTGGCATCCATTCACTAGTGGTACTAGGGAAAGCTTCAGAAGGGCTGAGGCTCTCAGTGCCAGGAGATCCACCTCCCCCGGGCACCATGTACCCAGGTGAGGCCTCGCTGTCCCCTGAACTCTGCCTGAGCCGTGTGCAATTCTGTGAGACTCCCGTCCACTCCCATCTTTGACGTCTGCTCCTCGGGGTCCCTCCCCCTGTTTGTGCCCCAAGGTACTCTCTCCTGCCTCTTTTGCTTTTACAGCCATTCTCCATGGCCCATTAGTTTCTAAGTCAGAATAATCATCAATGGAAAAAAAAGTTGATTTCCTTCTCTTAAGGGCAGGAAACTATTAGTCTTCCAATTTTTCAAGAAGGCGAGAGAAGATGAATTATATTCTAGTCTTCCGGTGCTGCAGAGGAAAATAAAACATAATGAGGTTTCCAACCGACTGTGGATCTGCCTGTTTCCCCTTCCCTTGTACCAGTCCCTCCTGTATTTGAAGCTCTGTTGTTAGCTGCATATGTATGCACAGTCCTCTGCACTGTCCCATCACCATCTCCCGTGCCTGGTCTCTGTTGTGTGTCTCACCCGTCCCGCTGCCTACCAGGCTGGTGGTGACACAGACATAGCCAAGGACAGCCCCACCTCCATCCCCATGGTAGTGACGGCCGCAGGCACATACACGCGATGCCGGATGAGCACCAGAAGTAGTGAGCGGGTTTCCTGATGTTTCACTTGGGGTCTGACCAAGCTGAGTCTCACCAAGCATGAGCCATCCCTCCTGCCCCAGGAGGCCCCCGCTCCCGCTGCCTCCTCGAGGCCCAACCGCTGCAGAATCCTTTGTGCTCAGCTTCCCTCCTGCTCGCCCCGTGTGTCCCTGGAGTGCAACGAGCAGGTGCTGCGGGCTCTGCTGCCTGAGATCCGGGCCCCAGCATGGCGTTCTAGCCTGAGCGTACTTTTTAGTTGATGCATGAAAGTCCTGGCAAGAGGAGCGTGGCTCACTTCAAAGACTGTCCTGAAAACCAAAGTAGTATTCTCCTCGTGGAGAAGTGGTTGGTGCCGAAGGCCGGTGACCTAATGATCATTACCCTGATGAGACATTACTTGTATCAGAGCATCGTGCTGCACCACATAAATACATACGATTATGGTGCATCAACCAAGAAGAAAATGCTAAACTTTAGAGAAGTAAATGATACTAAGCAATCACACATTAAAAAAAATCTAAAAATGTTTAAATAATTATAAAATAAAATAAAAAACAACTTCTGCTGTGAAGGAGCGGCACAGGTGAGTAAGAGAATTTATGTGGCAGCCTTGGCCCAGGCCAGGCACATCGGAGAGTGATCACCCTCCCTCTGCCCCCGCCACTGTGTCTGCCTGGCCTCCTCTGCTCCCCATCCATCCTAGGCCTCTTTGTCTCCTTCATTTGGGGAGGGAACCAGAAGACAGAAGATCACTCTGCCTTTCAAATAAATAAATAAATCACTAAAAAAAGAAGTATGATGATCTCTGTATAAAAAATAGGTTAGATTATAACAATTATTTAATACAGTTATACTAATTTAAATATTTAATATATTTCAATAATATATTTTATTTAGCCCAATACATCCATAATATTATCATATTGATATATCAGTAATAGTTGGTTTTTAAAATGCTCAACCTTCAAAATCCACTATGAATTTCACAGTAGTTCTCCATTCATTGTAGCCACTTTGCAAGCCCTCAGTGGCCACAGGTGGGCATTGCATTGGGTGGCACAGGTGTAGGAGTATCAGTAATCCTCTTTTTCCATGAAACAATGAAGCTATGCTGATTGATTGCCAAGCCACCATCATCCCTTTACCACACATGGTCTCCTTTATTCCTCACGGTAAGGCTACAAGGTTGGTATGCTCATCTGTAGTTTTTAACCGTGAGGAAGCTGAGGCACAGAGACAGTAAGTAACCGGCCCAAGCTCACACAGACGTTGGGCTCCAGAACTGGCAGTGGGAACTGTAACCGCCTGGGGAAGACTGCGCCTGCAGGCACGGGGGCAGCACGGCCAGGATCACTCCAGCGTGCGGTCTACCGACAAGAGAGGCACTAACTACAGCTGTCCGGGGATTCGGGCTCCTCTGCTCAGGAGGCTTCCACAAGCTTTTAGTCCCTGCCCGCGCTCGCTGGCTGCACACACCTCCTGTCTTGCACTGCTCTCGATAAAAATGGGGAGCCTCGATGAGACCTTAATGGACCCAAGAGCGGGGACCTGACTCTCTCTCTCCTCTGGTGTTTCTGACCTCTCTTCGTAGACTGTGCGTAAGACCCACGCTCACGACTAATTGATGAAAAATTAGCAAGTCTCTGTGTCTGACTCCAGCGCGTTTTAGAAACAAGAAGGCGTTTCCTCTCCGCCTTTCCAGAGTCTCGCCCCGTTGCTTCAATGCCAGGCAGTCAGCGTCAGTGCGGAGACAGCGCTACAACCCCTGAACCGGAGCAAGACTTCCTGGTGGGAAGCGGTGACTGGTTATAGATGGCTCCTCGCACACGCATGTCTTCTGGGGCGGAATGTAAATATTCAGAACTTCCCTGATTTCACAATTTTCAAAATTTATCCAGAATCAGCTTTGTCGGAATCAAAGGTCACAGGAGCCAGAGTTCACAGCCTGTTGGTAAATGAACAGCTGAGTGAGCCCCTTGGTCACCTGGGGACAGCCAGCCCTGACCTTGCCCCTGGCTGCTGCCACCGCAGGCTCCACCTGTGCCCAGTGCACACAGCGGGGACTCAAACACCTGCTGGCTGGCAGACAGGTGGTAGATCCACAGCTGCTAGACCCACAGCCGAATGGATGCGTGGACGCGTGCTTGTGTGAATGACTCCTGCCCAGTGGCTCCGGCATGCGTGTGGGATACCATACTCTTGTTCTTCAACCTCTGTGGGCCCCTCTGATGAGTAGCATGGGTGAGTCTTCAGCTCCATTCCCTGGCCTTGCAACCTCTGAAGCGTGAAGACTGGAAAGAGCATCAGAGTCGCCCTTGTCACTGTGAGCCCACATCATCTGAAGAACCCCCGCCCGTGAGCCCAGAGGGATGTTCTCCATCTTTCTGCTTGGAGAGGACAAGCTGTCAGCACGCAGTGAGAGCCTTGATTGGCCTGCAGCAGCTCTTAAAGATCTAAATTAGTTGCCAACGTGTGTAAATAATGATTCTTAAAAAAAAAAAATCCAGATTTGTGAATGGGAAGGGGGTGGAGAGAAGCTTCAGTAGAATTGAGTCCCAGGAACCCCGTCCCTCAGGCCCCTTAGACCTCTCCAGTTGGCCACAGTCCCCGCTGGTCCTGGCCCGCTCCTGCACAGGGCCTCCTGCCTCCTGCCCACTGTAGGCACCACTGCTTCACAATCCTCCCCTCATTGCACACCTGAGTGAACCAAGGCTGGGAGAGAGGCAGTCATTTGGATGGATTCAGGCTGCTAGCCAAGGGCAGGGACCCCAGACCACCCGATGACCCCCAGTGCCCAGGATCCCGATTCTCGTATCTTCTCCCCCTGCACATGGACTGTCAAAATAGGCCGAGGAGATTGAGATCTAAAACTGTGCAAGGAAAATGAATTATAGAGTCAGCTAATGAAAGATTCTCATTGGCGTTAGGATTAGCACCTTCGTACAATGTAGATGCTTTATAAGACTAAAGAGAGTTGTGGGGCGTATGTTATCCATGGAGCAGCCTTCGAGGCAGCAGAGCCAGGAAACAGCAGAGGCCCGGTGAGGATACCGGAAAGGAAGCGTTTGCAGACACTTCAGAACATGTGCTGATGTGAATCAGTAACGTTATCACACTTTCTAAAAGGTCAATACCAACTAAATAAACAGATCCTTTGGTGGAAAAGGAATGAATTGATGTTGGGCCAGCGCTGTGGCGCAGTGGGTTAACGCCCTGGCCTGAAGGGACGGCATCCCATATAGGCGCCAGTTCAAGTCCCGGCTGCTCCACTTCCAATCTAGCTCTCTGCTATGGCCTGGGAAAGCAGTAGAAGGTGGCCCAAGTCCTTGGCCCCTGCACACGTGTAGGAGACCTGGAAGAAGCTCCTGGCTCCTGGCTTCGGATCGGCACAGCTCCAGCCATTGCAGCCATCTGGGGAGTGAACCATCAGATGGAAGACCTCTCTCTCTCTCTCTCTCTGCCTCTCCTCTCTCTGTGTAACTCTGCCTTTCAAATAAATAAATCAATCTTAAAAAAAAAAAAAAAGAAAAGAAATGAATTGGTATCTCTTCAAAATGGATAAAAACATACCTTGGCAAGTAGCTTGTTAGTTATCCACAGCAAGATATCAAAATACATTTAATCAGCTCCAAATTGTTGGATCCACCCGGTCCAGGGAGCTTGGCCATTTTCAGATGATACACAATCCCCTAGCCCCAGACTAACCCTTTGTAATTGCACAATCCTCTCCTTGGTCTGAATTCCATTCCCTCCCTTTCCCTCCCTCTCTTCCCTCCTCCCCAGTCCCTAACCCCGGTTCACAGTCTTGATCCAAATGTTGAAACGTGACTGGCATTAGCATCTGGGGTTGCTGCTCCCAAGGCGATTGAAGCTTGAATGGGAATCGAGAACCGTATTTCTAGGTGAGCATTTCCAGCGCGTATCCAGGCACGCAGGCGACCCACGCTGGGGCTTCTGTCTTTCTTTCTGTCGCTGAAATCGCTCCCACCCTGCCCACATGCTTCTCTGCGCTCACCAGTCTTCCCCTACAAGCGACACCAGCCAGGACTTGAGACAGATCTGCCTGTGTCCTGCCAGGACCTTTCACCTACTTCTCCCAGGGCCCAGGCACCCAAGTTCCAACAGGACAGCTGTCTCCACGTTGTGCAGTTTGGGAAAATGACAACAAACCTTTGACTCGCAGGAGGGCTCTTGGCGGGAGCTGCCAGGCCTTATCCCTGCTGCAGCCAAGTCAGCTGGCGTGCGACAGGCAGAGGCTGCAGCCCCGCTCACGGGCACCTACCCACCGGATGAATGCTCACTTGTTCCTGCCAACAACCAGTATGACAAGGATCACAATGGCCAGTATGCGGAGAACCCTGGGGTCCAGAGGAGTTGTATGACTACCCTCGACCACACAGTCCAGCCACTGTGGACTCTGGCTGTGAGTCTGGGTCAGCCCCAGGCTGGTTGTCTGGGTGCCTGTCTGCCCCGTGGGACAATGCCAAATGACAAACACGTATAAAGGGGACTTCAAAACATTTCTAGGAAGTGGAATGAAAGCTAAGTTTATTCTGCTGCAGAAGATTTTGAAATTCATGAGTAGCTTTTTCTTATACGTGCATCGCAGGAACTTTTTGAAGACCTGTTGTATGCAAGGATTTCAGATATTTTTTGCATCAAAATAAACCTCTCTTTTAATTCCATTTTCCATGAATATGTTGAAGTCCTCAGGTCAGAAGTCCAAGGACTTTTCCATATGATTTGGGAGGGAGAGGGATCCTGTTCTGGGACTTGGTGAATATTCACATCAGCCAACACATTGCAGAAGTGGACAGCTGACCAGACTAATCCAGGGATAAACCGCACATGACACCATGTGCTACATGATTTCATAAAAGATTTATTCTGTTTATTTGAAAGGCAGAGTGAGAGAGAGGGAGAACAGAGAGAGAGAGAGAGAGAACTTCCATGATCTGGTCCACTCTCCAAGTGACCACAACAGTTGGGGCTGAGCCAGGCTGACACCAGGAACTCCATGTGGGTTCCCCACATGCATGGCAGGAGTCTAAGTACTTGGGCCATCTTCCACTGCTTTCCTAGGCTCATTAGCAGGGAGCTGGATTAGAAGTGGAGCAGCTGGGACTAGAACCAGTGCTCTTATATGGGCTGCCAGTCACGAAGATGGCAGCTTAACCCACTGCACCACAGTGCTAGCCCAGGTTGTGTGTGATTTTGAACTTGGTTATTCTCTGGCCCCGTGGAAGTCACCACTGTCAGCTGAAATCCGGTGGCGACCCGAGGCCAGCACAGCTGGAGGTTGATGGAGCAGTGGTGCCCAGGTGGTCTTCTTGCTCTTTTTCTATCCAGAGAAGACTCCTGATGGCACTGCTTCCACCTTGTTGAAGTCCAAGCCATCAAGTAGGAAGGCAGAGATGGCAGGTCCCTGTGTAGAAGGACCCTGGACCTGGCCTGGGGAGGATCTGAATCCCAGCCCTAGCCTCAAGTCCACTAATGAGAGTGTTAGAGTCGACTGCCCGAAAAACGTCACCAAGAGACATCTCTTATGCAAACAGCAAGGGGAAGCTTTATTGATTATCCAGCATGCTGGGGCTGTCTGACCATACATGAACAGAGCAGCCCCGAATAACCAAAGGTTAGGGTTTATAAAGGCAAAAACCACAAAACCGGGAAGGGGGGAATACACGGTTGCTATGCACAGTTGCTATACACAGTTGCTAAAATCAAAAGAGAGTACATAAAATCAAAAGAGTATATGGTTACTGGGGTCAACATAACCTAAAACCTAATTGAAATTAATATTTATCATAATCTTGACAATACCAGTTACAATATTACAATTAGCAATTAGGACTTGACATTAATGTAAGACACAGACAAATCACATCTTTATTATTAGCCCAGGTAACCCAGGTGCAACCTTTCTACTTTTAAGCTTGAGCAGTCATGCTAGGGGGTTTTTGTGCGTTGCCAAGGGTGATGTAGTGCACTGCTATTGTCCGACTATTTGAGATCATAGTTTCAGACCAGAGTCTCACAGTGGGGGGGTGCTTTCCCAGAATGCAGTCTCAAGTGCTCCAAAATGGAGTCCCTACTGCCAAGGTGCTACTCTGTCTTATTTTTTTACAGCTGTACCAGCAAGGTTTAAACCTGTAAGCTTAAGCTTAACTTTTTACACCTGCACATATACAATTTTAACTCTTCATTCCCCACTCCTTGTTGTGAGGATCTCTAATCTTAGAGATTTGTTTTTGTATCTTTTAATGTGACATATTGTTGTCTTATGACCATGTGTTTAACATTTTTAACTTGTTTCCGCACGAAGGTGATGAGTCTATTTAACACACAAGGTCCTATGGTTACAATTAGGAATAGAACAATTAAGGGTCCTGTTAGGGCTGACAGTAGAGTAGTAAGCCATGGGGACCGGCCGAACCATGGCTCAAACCATCCCTGTTGAGTTTTCCTTTCCCGTTGCCATTTTTCCAGTCATTTTTTGAGTTTGGCCATGGAGTTTTTAACCACCCCGGTTCAGTCAGCATAAAAACAACATTTTTTCTTTAGGGCCACGCATAACCCACCCCCATGAAAATGAGATTTAACCCCCGCCTGTTCTGTAATACTGAAATGCAGATACTGGGCTGCATCTGGGAGATTGTGGAAGATTTGTCAGGCAGAAGGGGCGGGCATCTCCACCTGGCAGGTTATCAGGTAGAAGGGGGCAGGGCAGGATGCAAAGGCCAGGCTGCCCGTGAAACATTGTCAGGATGACTGAGATGTAGATGCATATGCTGGACACATTAGGCCTTTATGTCACACACACATAAGCTCATAACTGACTTTCTGCCTAATATTTTTCCCTCAAGAGGTAATACCCAAAATTCTTCTTTGGGATTATGGATGGAGTTCCGTCTTCTGTAACTTCTTCAAAGCTGGCATGTGGGCGTCGAGGGGGATTTGGGTATTTCCTCTTGCTACCTGTCTTATGGTGTGCAACAGTGGCCTTGGAAAGACTGTACTGCTTGGTCCAGAGGGCTGTTCAGGTAGTCCAGTGGAATGGGCTGGAAGCCTTGTCTGACGACCATTTGGAGTTAACAGCTTTTAGTCTGTTAGAGACAAAACAAATAAGGGCATTAAAAACACACGGTGTAAGGAGAAGCATCTATAGTTTCAGTACAGGAGCAGGGAGGGCTTTTTAAGTTTAATACTATTGGATAGACTTTTAAGGCCTGGCAGGGTGTGTGAGGCCCAGACCTATCCATGGGGTGCTGTTAAGAAAATTGTTAAGAGATGCAAATCTCCTTTAAGGGAGGCACCCTGTTGACTCGCATTACATGGCTGGACTAGGAGAGTTAAATAGGAGGCTGATAGAAATAGGCAACTTACATTTTACTGACCCTAAGCCATCCCCAGTAGCAGTGGCTGGAGCTGGAAGCTGGGCAGAGGCTGGGCAGAGCCAAAGGCTTTTTGGCTCAGGGCCACAGGGTCTGCGGTTCTGAACCAGGAGTCCTTCGACACCCAGGGCAGTTCCGTGTCCAGTGGCTGTGCTCTTGGCAGGGCCGACAGAAGGCATTTGCTGTTATGACAGCTGCTTGCCCAACGCCCTGGCTCCTTATTTGGGGTGCACTGGCCTTGCTGGGTCTCCTTGACGGCAGATCACGGTGTAAAGCAGCCATTGATTGGCCTGTTGCCCATCCATACATTGCTCCTGCTGCTAGCTTGCTCCTCATTCCACTGGTCTCTAATAAAGTGGACCATGGAGGCAGCCTCTATGATGCCAGTCAAGGGGGGTGCCCAACCCAACCCTGATTTTTGGAGATTTTTTAATATTAGGGTGAGCTAGAAAAATTATGGTCATGGGCAAATTCTGACACTTAGTATTTTCCTGCGAGTTAAGACTGTGCCCATGAAGAGAACTATGACCCTTTAGGTAAGATCAACTGTGGTGACCTGCTTGCATACTTTGAGGTCCTCAGTTTAACTTTTTATCTATTTTTTAGTTTGGTTTAAAAGGGGAGTTCTGCCCATTTAACGCGTACACTGAAAAATTGATCTAGTAGTTTAACCCCCCCCCCTTTTTTTTTTTTATGTTGTTTGGGGCCCTATACTATGGCCAGGCATTATTACAGAAAAGGTCAGTCATCCCTTAAATAAGGTCTGGGGATCAAACCGTACGTCACAGTGGAGAGTCCTGCAGAACAGTAGTAACTTCCCTTCTGGAAGAGAAAAGAGGAGAAGTGAGGCAGCAAGTTGGGTCTCTAGCCTGACTTTCTGGGCTTTTAGATTTAACTGGCAGTTTAACCAGTGTATACTGTGTAGCCTGACTTAGAGGAGAAATTGTGGCAGAGGTCTCTGCCATCCTTTGGCTTCCGGGTATTTACCGTGTAGCCTGTAGACACGAGAGCTTTCTTGGGTTTCTGGAACCCAGTTTTCTAGCATCTGCCACATAACCATAACTTAACAGAGACAGTAGAGTACACAATGGATTAACATGAATTTTATGTCTCTTGTTGTTGAATAAACCAGAAATAAAAAACCTTGTATATAAGAGTTTTATTTAACAGAGTCAAAAAGAGCTTACAGGACCTAACTCTAGAAATGGCAGAGTAATCGATTAAGCAGACACTGTTAAAATAGACGTTACAGTTTTTGCAGAAACAGATTCCAAGATTTATGATTTAGACCATTTTTAGATATTTACTAATATTAGTACACTTTTTTTTTTTTTAAACCCCATTGTTATAACAGAAGATTAGACTTTAACTTTAGGTCAGTGTAATTTTAGCATTAGCACTTAACTCTGTAAATAATATTTTAAAATTATAAACATTTTAAAACTTTTTATGACTTGTTTACACCTTTTGAAACTTTATACTCATAGTTACTTTTATATAGCCTTGAATTGTCATGTATGGACAACCTATGCGAATACATGTTAACAAACTCAAACAGTTTTTTTTTTTATTGAATTTGAGATGTTAAAAGTATATATAATATATTTTTCCAAGTTTTATTTAGCACTGATGCCTAGATGACTTAAGACACTGAGTTATTAATGAATACCACACCATTATCTGAAATAAAAGTTAAAATTACATTTTTATATTTTTAAGTAACACGAGGATAACACCTCCTGGACAGCAAACATTAGTGCATGTTTACAACTTTGAAAAGATCTTCGTCATTAAGAGAAACAAGCAAATCAAAGACATGTAAAACTGAGCAAGTCAGCCACTGAGCAAACTTAAGGGCGTTTGCATTACCTCAATTTTCTGAACCAATCTGCATTGGCTTTCTTTAGTTAACAACATAAAGGCTTGTATACACAGAATTTACTCTTATTTTTATAAGACCGCTTTAGCTGGAAAGCAAAAACATAAATACAGCATAGGTCTGACACTATTTATAACATTTTAATATATTTTATATAATCTGAATTGACCCAAGCAGCTGTTACTTTAACAAATTTAGAGTCTCATCCTTTGAGAGTTCCAGGGATCCGACTGGAAGCCCAAAGTTGGAAGACTCGGTTTAGAATTTAAGCTGTCAGAGAGTCAAACCATTTAGCCAAAATTAGTACATTTCTGATCAGTTGGGTAATTACTTAGACATTAAAAACAGATAAACAATGTAAACAAACTTCGCGCTGTAGTTTTTCCAATCAAGACTCATAATGGCAATAGAAAAACACGAAACCTTCAAGACAGGTGAACGCTCTCAGATAAGTCAGGGACAGCAGCACAGAAAAGAGCTGATTATCAGCATATGAACCCATTGTTTAGGTTTTTATTAGCTGCAAAGAGAATAACCCATCAGCTTGGAAAGGGTTAATGGCTTAAGGTTCTGGCTCCCTTAGGTAAGGTCAGCAGTGGTATTGAATTGGAAATTCCTCCAGGAGAGGAAAAAGAAGCAGCCCTGGGGTGGGGGCTCTGCCTAGAGATATTTGGAGTGCAGAGAAAGGCTGTGGTCCCCCATTTACAGGGAAGACTGCACACACCGGGGCCTGGCAGGACTAGCCGTGGGGTGTTGGGAACCTTCTATAATTTAACCAAAGCTAGATTAATTAGGACTACTGCAGACACTCAATTACAACAGATAGTTAACTTTAGCTCTTTTCCAGATTTAGTCCTCAGGCAATCAAAGCTTAGCAACAGTAATAGTTTACAAAAAACTTTTAAGACGCACCAGAGCTACCATAAGCTGCAAAGACGGAAAACTTTTTACCCGGTTGGAAAGGGTTAACAGGTAACAGGTAACAGCTTTTCCCCAGGTGGAGAGACCTGTGGAATTTCCCTCTCCCTTTCTCCTCGCCAGTGGTATAGGAATGGAGATGAGGAGAGCAAAAGAGTGGGGGAGGGAGCCCCCCCCCCCCCCCCCCCGGAGGAGGAGGAAGGCAGAAAGCAATGAAGCTCCTCATGTCTGGGGGCTGAGTGGGGTTTGAAATCTCCTATCACTCAAGGTTACCCACTACCTAGTTGTCTGAGTTTACCTGGAGGGCCAATATTAGCCTCGACCGAAGCTAAGCCCTGCTCGCGTAGCAGTAGGCAGCGTGACCAGGCGTCCCTCCGAGAGAGAGACCTGGTCCTCGGGTCGCAGTCCGGCCGCCGGGAAGCCAAAGCGAGCTCAGGGGGTCTCCAGGCTCTCAGCCAACTGCCCTTCCTAATTTCCCTCCCATTCCTTACAATCCCTCTGGAGTTTCGGCCGTAGCTAAGCCGTGGCCGGGGGGACTCCGCGTTCTCGGAGAGCTGTGGGGTGCCGGACACTCAACGGTCACTTCCACAGATCCGGTCCCGCTTGAGGGAAGGAATACTGACCTCCGATGTCTTCTCAAAATCCCGGTCTGAGTGCCCTTGACGGCCAGGCAAGAGAACGGCCTCTTTCACTTGGCGAATGAGTGGTAAATGGAGAGCCCTCCGGGGGGCCAATCCACTCCGAGAGCTGGCCATTCAGAGGCACAGAAAGACTGTCACTTTACCTTCTTGACTGACAAAGAGAGGTTATGTGCCCGGTCGCTTACCTACTACCAATGATTCAAAGTTAGAGACAAAGGTGTAGACACAGTCTGGCCCATGTTAGCAGACAACACAATGTACACGAACAGACAAACAATGTAGAGAATCAGCACACAACAACCACACAAAGTGTCCGTAGAGGAACTGAGATAAACTACTGGTCACGACGATGCTGGCAATACAAACACAGACTCTGGAACCGCCTCAGAGCCCTGTGCCCATGCCGGTAATACAAATGCAAGCTCCGGAACCACTTCAGAACCTACAAATGCAGACTCCAGAACCACTTCAGAGTCACGCGACCATGCTGGCAATACAAATGCAGATTCCAAATCTACCAAACGGGAGCCATCACAGCACCCCATACAATGCTAAATGACAAGAGAATACAATCAACAAACAACAAGACAACCAACAAAGCACCTTACAACTACAAAAGACTAATAATAAGAAGGCCTTACCGGCCACCCCGTCTGTGCTGGGAATGCAGACTCCACGCCTGCCCCGTCGGAAGTATCTGGGCGTCCCCAGCCTTCCTTTGTCCTCCTGAGGCGTCCCTCAGGGCCGTAGCCTGTGGCCCCCGGGCACGTCTGCCGGCCACAGCCAGGAAGGGCTCACGCCCTGTCCCAGCAGCTACTACACCAGCACAGTTCCCAAAACCCTAGAGCGCTCACAAACTACCAAAATCCAGAATGAAGAGACACAAACCACAAATAAGCCGGCCGACAACACAAATAGGCGCCTGCACTTACCCCGAGAGATATCTGTTGGAGACGTCCGCAGGCAGCAGTCAGATCTCGCTGGGGCCTCCAAATGTTAGAGTCGACTGCCCGAAAAACGTCACCAAGAGACATCTCTTATGCAAACAGCAAGGGGAAGCTTTATTGATTATCCAGCATGCTGGGGCTGTCTGACCATACATGAACAGAGCAGCCCCGAATAACCAAAGGTTAGGGTTTATAAAGGCAAAAACCACAAAACCGGGAAGGGGGGAATACACGGTTGCTATGCACAGTTGCTATACACAGTTGCTAAAATCAAAAGAGAGTACATAAAATCAAAAGAGTATATGGTTACTGGGGTCAACATAACCTAAAACCTAATTGAAATTAATATTTATCATAATCTTGACAATACCAGTTACAATATTACAATTAGCAATTAGGACTTGACATTAATGTAAGACACAGACAAATCACATCTTTATTATTAGCCCAGGTAACCCAGGTGCAACCTTTCTACTTTTAAGCTTGAGCAGTCATGCTAGGGGGTTTTTGTGCGTTGCCAAGGGTGATGTAGTGCACTGCTATTGTCCGACTATTTGAGATCATAGTTTCAGACCAGAGTCTCACAGTGGGGGGGTGCTTTCCCAGAATGCAGTCTCAAGTGCTCCAAAATGGAGTCCCTACTGCCAAGGTGCTACTCTGTCTTATTTTTTTACAGCTGTACCAGCAAGGTTTAAACCTGTAAGCTTAAGCTTAACTTTTTACACCTGCACATATACAATTTTAACTCTTCAAGAGCAGGGGAAAGTCCATCTTCCCCAACAATGGAATAATTAACTGGAGCTGCTAACACCCCAATTTCACTCCTGCACCTGAGATCTGATACGGAGTTGCAGTTTAACCCAACACACCTGAGTGCACCTGGACGAAATGCCACGCCCTGGAGTCCAGGTGAGCGCAGGCATGGGTTCACACACTGGCTTGCCGCCACCTTGGGCATGTCCCTTCTCTTCCTGCTGCTGTCACCCCCAAACTCACAAACACCATCGTACAGAAAACCTCACCCCCAAAGACTCCCTGTGATTCCCTGGGGGCTGGCCCCAAGGAATAGGCAACAAATTCACTTTCCCCGGACCAAGCAAATCCAGAGCTGAGCGAATTCACTGGCTGCCGCTGTTACAACAAGGGCCCTCCTGCTCACCCGTGGTGGGCTTCCCTGTGCTGAACTCCCAAGTTCGTGTTACTCCTGGGCTGTGGTCACTGCATGGGAAACAGCAGCACGGCCAGGACCCACCTGTCTCTGTCCTTGCGCAGGCCACTGGTAAGTCAAGAGAACACTTCTTGGAGGGCATTTTTCAACAAATATGCAGTAACCAGCACAGCTGAGAACAGAAAGGGGCGTGGTGTTCTGGGTAACTGAGCTCCTGTATACTTGTGGGACAGGCAAGCACCTGGCCCAGCGTCTGGCTCCTGGGGGCTCTCGGTGCTGACTGTGGGTGAACGAACGAAGAAAGTCCTTTACGGAATACAAGTGACTTAATACATTCGAGTGCACACTTTCCTAAAGTGTGGCAACGCTTCTCTGCAGACCAGGTTTTCTGGAAAGGTACGCGATCTCTGAGACCTGGTGCCTTGCTGCCTGCCCCAAGCAGAGGCGGGACCATCTGTCCATCACAGACTGATGACAAGGAAGTGTGGCAATGTGTGTAGAAGCACCTTGCAAACTGTTCAGTGCTGTCACCCTCATAGTCTCTGGGCAGGATCAACACAGAGAACAGCCTTTCCCTGATACCAAGACCCATGCTCCAAGCATCAGCCGTCCCTGTGGCCGTTAGCAGTAGCTACAGATACACAGGTGGGCCTGCAGTGAGCCACCCCGCCTCGGCCTGGGCTGCTGTGGCTCTGCGATAGAGCATCCACAGCAGACCCCCTGCAGGCCTGCTCTGGTGGCTCGCTGGCTGGCCTTGCTCGTCCCGGGGTCGTGGGAGCATCCCCCAGATCTCCGCCTCCATCTTCCCGTGGCCTCCTCCCTGTGTGTGTCTGAGTGCATTTCCATGTCATTGTAAAGACATCAGGCGTATGGGATTAAGGGCTCACCCTACTCGATATGACCTCATCCTAACTTGATTAATTACATCTGCGAAGACCTTAGCCCCAAAAGGGGTCACTGGGGGTCAGGACAGCAACAGATGAATTTCAGGAGGACATAATTCATCTCTCGGGCCTGGATAACTGCTCTGGCTCTCTCTCTTGCTGGACAGTGGCGGGGCGGGGAGGGGCAGGGACAGATGTCAGATGTCCACTTGAGTGGGCCGTGGGATATCCACATTCAAGTTGATTCTGGAGGCCTCCATGAGGGTATTTCCAGATGAAATTAGCATTAGAACCGGGGGCTCTGCCCTCGGGCTGGGATTTACACTTCCTCTCTTCTTCTGGTTCTTCTGCCCCAGTCTCAGACCAACGGCAGCGCTGGCTTTCCAGGGTCCCCAGCCTGCAGGTGGTGGGTGCTGGGATTTCGTGGCCCTCACACGGTGTGAGTCAGTTCCTTGTAGCATCTCTCCTGTTGGCTCCCTGTCTCTCGAGAGCACTGACTAACGCACCCAGCCAGACACAGCATTCTAACAGGCTCTCCCGGAAATCTGGATCTTTCTGGGAAACAGAAAGTGATCGTGTCTGAGACTTCTCCTGTGCTGTTCCTCCCTACGCTGGCAGATGGGTTGAGGCAGAGGAGCTGGCCAAGCTACCCAGTGGCCGGGGGGTGTTGAGTCTCCCAGCAAGATGTCCTCAGCTATCCACTCGCAAGGCAGGCCCCTCCTCTTCCCAGTTGCTGCTGTCCTGCTGGTGCTGGGAGCTTAGATCACAGCTGGGAGAGCTTAGGCCTCAGCCCTTAGCTGTTTCCTCCCTAGACGTGGCCTCTGCCCTCACTCCTCCTGGAGCTAATATCAGGCGGCAGCTGCCATGGGTCCCTGTCCCAAGTGATCTACCCAGTTGCACAAGCTATGGGACCGCTTGCTCCTTTTTCCTCTCCACGTGGTTTTCTAAACTCAGCTCTCTTATTTAAAAGAAACTTTTAAAAATTTATTTGAAAAGGGAACAGAGAAAGAGAGAGAGGAAGAGAGAGAGAGGGATGCCCCATCTGCTAGTTTTGGCCAGGCCAAAACCAGGAGCTGGGAACTCAATCCAAGTCTCCCACGTGGGGAGCCAGGCTCCAATCACGTGCGTGATACCTGCTGCTGTCCAGGGTACCTGTTCACAGTAAGCTGAGCTGAGACTCAAACCCAGCTCTCTGGTGTGGGATGCAGGTATGGCGGGCACATCTTAATCTCAGCGCCAAACACCTGCCCCAGCTTTCTTATTTTTAAACAGCACCAAAACCCTGTAGTCAGGGCCCCCTCGCCCCAGCCACATGGAAGCAGAGGAGGTCCCGGCCCCGAGGTCCCAGGAGAGATGGAGTCCTCTCCCGGCAGTTGGCCAGAGCTGGCACTGGCCTGTGCCTTCTCTGTCCCCTCCTCTTGCGTTTCTGGAATGCCTATACTCTCCACCACCTCCTCTGGCTCATTTGCCTTCCTGGGATGCCTCCAATTCCAACGCAGAGGAAGTAAGAGAAAAGATTGACAGCTGTCTGGCTGCTCTTGCAGTTGAGCCGGAGAGCACAGCCAGGGTGGGGCAGGAAGTGAGACGAGATGGGGTCCCGGTCCTCGGGGGCCGCACTTGTCTCTGCGGATGCCCCCGGCAGGGACGTCACTGCCAAGTGTACCGTCTGCTGAACCAAGGCTCTTACAGCCCCTGCAGGAAAACTGAAGAGGCGCGTGTGCCTGTGCCCCCAGGCACTAACCCAGGACCCGGCCAGACTGCGCGGGAGCACCAGTGGGGACAGCCAGCAGTCAGACGATGCACGCGAACCACAGACAGGAAAGAAAAGGGGTGTTGACCCCAGCCCCTGCCGCCTGCCTTTCTAGCCGCATTCTGCCACCAGCCACCAGTGGACGTCAACGGGACAAATCCTGTGCCACGTCTCACTCTCTTCCTGGAGTCCTGGCAGCACGGCCCCTCTTGGTCACGACACCACCAGCCAACATTCGCCCTGTGCTTGTAACAGCAGGCAGCCTTCGAACGCCTTTCAGTCTCCATTCGTCATGAAACAACCCTATGTGGAAGGTACTTCCCTTAACCCTAACGTCCAAAGCAGGAAATGGGGACTGAAGAGGCTAGGGAACTCGGCCCTGGCACACAGGGTGTGACGAGGCCAAGAACCTGGGCTGGGCCTCCATCCCCAGAGCTCTGGCTGTGCTGCTCCAGGTCACACTTCCTAGAGAGAGGGCCTGGTGTTCAGGCCTTCGGTGCAGGTTCTGAAAGGCAGGTGGGTGGGGTGGCAAATTGTTTCCAGATTTGCAAGCCTGAGCCCCTTTCTTCTTTAAGATTTATTTATCTATTTATTTGAAAGGCAGAGTTACAGACAGAAAGAGAGAGAGAGAGAGAGAGAGAGAGATCTTCCATCTGCTGGTTCACTCCCGAAATGGCCACAACAGCCAGAGTTGCTTGGCCTAAAGCCAAGAGCTTCTTCCCGGTCTCCCACGTGGGTGCAGGGGCCCAAGCACTTGGGCCATCCTCTACTGCTTTCCCAGGCCACAGCAGAGAGCTGGATCAGAAGTGATGTGGCCAGGACTGGAACTGGTGCCCATACGGGATACCGGTGCCATAGGCAGCAGCTTTAACTGCTGCAACACAGCGCCAGCCCCCGCCCCAGCTGAGGGACTTTTTAAAAGAGGTCTTGGTGAAACTGAGTTCAGTTGACCCTGGATTGAAATTATCTGACTTATGTGGCCAAGTCCTCTCTTCTGGTTAAAAAAAAAAAATCCATCCTGGAGCCTGGTCAGCCTTCCCAGCCCCGTTGTGTCACCACACAGCTGTGGCCACAACTCCCAAGTGGGAGTGGGATGAAAATTCACTGCACAGAGTCTGAAAATTCATGTGTAGACTCACTCAGCTCAACGTCACACACATCTCCCACCATCTCGCCTGGACTGCACGGCCCACGTGTCTCATGCATGTGGGTGCTGTCTAGTTTTTTTTTTTTTCTTTAAATATTTATTTCTTGGGGCCGGTGCCGTGGCTCACTTGGATAATCCTCTGCCTGTGGTGCCAGCATCCCATATGGGCGCCGGGTTCTAGCCCCAGTTGCTCCTCTTCCAGTCCAGCTCTCTGCTGTGGCCCGAGAAGGCAGTGGAGGATGGCCCAAGTGCTTGGGCCCTGCACCCCATGGGAGACCAGGAGAAGCACCTGGCTCCTGGCTTCGGATGGGAGCAGCTCCGGCTGTGGCGGCCATTTAGGGGGTGAACCAATGGAAGCAAGACCTTTTTCTCTGTCTCTCTCTCTCACTAACTCTATCTGTCAAATAAATAAATGTTTATTTCTTTATGTGAAAGGCACAGCTACAGAGAAGCAGAGGCAAAGAGACGGAGAGGAATGTCTTCCCTCTGCTGGTTCACTCCACAGATGGCTGCAACGACCGGAGCTGCCTCAATCCGAAGCCAGGAGCTTCCTCCGGGTCTCCCACCGGGTGCAGGGACCCAAAGACTTAGGCCATCTTCTACTGCTTTCCCAGGCCATAGCAGAGAGCTGGATCAGAACTGGAGCAGCCAGGACTCCTGCTTTGGACGTTAGGGCTAAGGGAAGTACCTTCCATATAGGGTTGTTTCATGACGAATGGAGACTGAAAGGCGTTCGAAGGCTGCCTGCTGTTACAAGCACAGGGCGAATGCTAGCTGGTGGTGTCGTGACCAAGAGGGGCCGTGCTGCCAGGA